GCTAGGCCCTTGTTCTTGCAATTTTGCATGCTCTAGGCCCTTGTTCTTGCAATTTTGCACACGCTAGGCCCTTGTTCTAGCAATTTTGCACACGGTAGGCCCTTGTTCTTGCAATTTTGCATACGCTAGGCCCTAGTTCTTGCAATTTTGCACACGCTAGGCCCTTGTTCTTGCAATTTTGCTCACGCTAGGCCCTTGTTCTTGCAATTTTGCACATGCTAGGCCCTTGTTCTTGCAATTTTGCACACGCTAGGCCCTTGTTCTTGCAATTTTGCTCACGCTAGGCCCTTATTCTTGCAATTTTGCACACGCTAGGCCCTTGTTCTTGCAATTTTGCACACGCTAGGCCCTTGTCCTTGCAATTTTGCATACGCTAGGCCCTAATTCTTGCAATTTTGCACACGCTAGGCCCTTGTTCTAGCAATTTTGCACACGCTAGGCCCTTGTTCTTGCAATTTTGCATACGCTAGGCCCTAATTCTTGCAATTTTGCACACGCTAGGCCTTTGTTCTTCCAATTTTGCTCATGCTAGGCCCGTGTTCTTGCAATTTTGCACACGCTAGGCCCTTGTTCTTGCAATTTTGCATACGCTAGCCCCTTGTTCTTGAAATTATGCACACCCTAGGACCTTATTCTTGCTATTCTGCACACGCTAGGCCTTGTTCTTGAAATTCTGCACATGCTAGGCCCTTGTTCTTGAAATTCTGCACACGCTAGGGCCCTTGTTCTTGAAATTTTGCACGCGCTAGGCCCTTGTTCTTGAAATTTTGCACACGCTAGGCCCTTGTTCTCGCTATTTTGCACACGCTAGGCCTTTGTTCTTGCAATTTCGCACACGTTAGGCCCTTGTTCTTGCAATTTTGCACGCGCCAGGCCCTTGTTCTTGCAATTTTGCACACACTAGGCCCTTGTTCTTGCATATTTACGCACGCTAGGCCCTTGTTCTTACAATTTTGCATACGCTAGGCCCTTTTTCTTGCAATTTTGCACACGCTAGGCCCTTGTTATTGCAATTTTGCACTCGCTAGGCCCTTGTTCTGGCATTTTTGCACACGCTAGGCCCTTAATCTGGCAATTTTGCACACGCTAGGCCCTTGTTCTTGCAATTTTGCACATGCTAGGCCCTTGTTCTTGCGATTTTGCAAACGCTAGGCCCTTGTTTTAGCAATTTTGCATACGCTAGGCCCTTGTTCTTGCAATTTTGCACACGCTAGGCCCTTGTTCTTGCAATTTCGCACACGCTAGGCCCTTGTTTTTGCAATTTTGCACATGCTAGGCCCTTGTTCTTGCAATTTTGCACTCGCGAGGCCCTTGTTCTGGCTGTTTTGCACACGCTAGGCCCTTCTTCTGGCAATTTTGCACACGCTAAGCCCTTGTTCTTGCAATTTTGCACACGATAGGGCCTGGTTCTTGCAGTTTTGCACTCGCTAGGCCCTTGTTCTGGCAATATTGCACACGCTAGGCCCTTGTTCTGGAAATTTTGCACACACTAGCCTCTTGTTCTTGCAATTTTGCACACGTTAGGCCCTTGTTCTTGCAGTTTTGCACTCGCTAGGCCCTTCTTCTGGCAATTTTGCACACGCTAGGCCCTTGTTCTGGCAATTTTGCACATGCTAGGCCCTTGTTCTTGTAATTTAGCACATGCAGGGCCCTTGTTCTTGCAATTTTGCACACGCTAGGCCCTTGTTCTTGCAATTTTGCGCACGCTGGGCCCTTTTTTTTGCAATTTTGCACTCACTAGGCCCTTGATCTTGCAATTTTGCACTCGCTAGGCCCTTGTTCTTGAAATTTTGCACTCACCAGGCCCTTGTTCTTGCAATTTTGCACTCGCTAAACACTTGTTCTTGCAATTTTCCACTTGCTAGACACTTGTTCTTACTCTTTTGCACTCAATAGGCCATTGTTCTTGCAATTTTGAACTCGCTAGGCCCTTGTTCTTGCAATTTTGCACTCGCTAGACACTTGTTCTTGCAATTTTTCACTCGCTAGGCCCTTGTTCTTGCAATTTTGCTCTCACTAGGCCCTTATTCTTGCAATTTTGCACTCTCAAGGCCTTTGTTCTTGCAATTTTGCACTTGCTAGACACTTGTTCTTGCAATTTTGCACTCGCTATACACTCTTTCTTGCAGTTTTGCACTCGCTAGGCACTTGTTCTTGCAATTTAGCACTCGCTACACCCTTGTTCTTGCAATTGTGCACTCGCTAGACACTTGTTCTTGCAATTTAGCACTCGCTAGACCCTTGTTCTTGCACTTTTTGCACTCACTAGGCCTTGTTCTTGCAATTTTGCACTCGCTAGACACTTATTCTTGCAATTTTGCACTCGCTTGACACTTGTTCTTGCAATTTTGCACTCGCTAAACACTTGTTCTTGCAATTTTGCACATGCTAGGCCCTTATTCCTGCAATTTTGCACACGCTAGGCCCTTGTTCTGGCAATTTTGCACACGCTAGGCCCTTGTTCTTGCAATTTTGCACATGCTAGGCCCTTGCTCTTGCAATTTTGCTCACGCTAGGCCCTTGTTCTTGCAATTTTGCACACGCTAGGCCCTTGTTCTAGCAATTTTGCACACGGTAGGCCCTTGTTCTTGCAATTTTGCATACGCTAGGCCCTAATTCTTGCAATTTTGCACACGCTAGGCCCTTGTTCTTGCAATTTTGCACACGATAGGCCCTTGTTCTTGCAATTTTGCACTCGTGAGGCCCTTGTTCTGGCAGTTTTGCACACGCAAGGCCCTTCTTCTCGCAATTTTGCACACGCTAAGCCCTTGTTCTTGCAATTTTGCACACGATAGGCCCTTGTTCTTGCAGTTTTGCACTCGCTAGGCCCTTGTTCTGGCAATTTTGCACACGCTAGGCCCTTGTTCTGGCAATTTTGCACACACTAGGCTCTTGTTCTTGCAATTTTGCAAACGATACGCCCTTGTTATTGCAGTTTTGCACTCGCTAGGCCCTTGTTCTGGCAATTTTGCACACGCTAGGCCCTTGTTCTGGCAATTTTGCGCATGCTAGGCCCTTGTCCTCGCAATTTTGCACACGCTAGGCCTTTGTTCTTGCAATTTTGCGCACGTTGGGCCCTATTTCTTGCATTTTTGCACTCACTAGGCCCTTGATCTTGCAATTTTGCACTCGCTAGGCCCTTGTTCTTCAAATTTTGCACTCACCAGGCCCTTGTTGTTGCAATTTTGCACTCGCTAAACACTTGTTCTTGCAATTTTCCACTCGCTAGACACTTGTTCTTGTTCTTTTGCACTCAATAGGCCCTTGTTCTTGCAATTTTGCACTCGCTAGGCCCTTGTTCTTGCAATTTTGCACTCGCTAGACACTTGTTCTTGCAATTTTTCACTCGCTAGGCCCTTGTTCTTGCAATTTTGCTCTCACTAGGCCCTTGTTCTTGCAATTTTGCACTCTCAAGGCCTTTGTTCTTGCAATTTTGCACTCGCTAGATACTTGTTCTTGCAATTTTGCACTCGCTATACACTATTTCTTGCAGTTTTGCACTCGCTAGGCACATGTTCTTGCAATTTAGCACTCGCTACACCCTTGTTCTTGCAATTGTGTACTCGCTAGACACTTGTTCCTGCAATTTAGCACTCGCTAGACCCTTGTTGTTGCAATTTTTGCACTCACTAGGCCCTTGTTCTTGCAATTTTGCACTCGCTAGACACTTATTCTTGCAATTTTGCACTCGCTTGACACTTGTTCTTGCAATTTTGCACTCGCTAGACACTTGTTCTTGCAATTTTGCACTCACTGGACTCTTGTTCTTGCAATTTTGCACTCGCTAGACACTTGTTCTTGGAGTTTTGCACTCGCTAGACACTTGTTCTTGAAATTTTGCACTCACTAGATACTTGTTCTTGCAATTTTGCAGTGGCTAGGCCCTTGTTCTTGTAATTTTGCACTCGCTAGACACTTTTTCTTGCAATTTTGCACTACCTAGGCACTTGTTCTTGCAATTTTGCACTCGCTAGACACTTGTTCTTGCAATTTTGCACTCGCTAGAGACTTGTTCTTGGAGTTTTGCACTCGCTAGACACTTGTTCTTGAAAGTTTGCACTCACTAGATACTTGTTCTTGCAATTTAGCAGTCGCTAGGCCCTTGTTCTTGCAATTTTGCACTCGCTAGACACTTTTTCTTGCAATTTTGCACTACCTAGGCACTTGTTCTTGCAATTTTGCACTCGCTAGACACTTGTTCTTGCAATTTTGCACTCGCTAGACACTTGTTCTTGGAGTTTTGCACTCGCTAGACACTTGTTCTTGAAATTTTGCATTCACTAGATACTTGTTCTTGCAATTTAGCAGTCGCTAGGCCCTTGTTCTTGCAATTTTGCACTCGCTAGACACTTTTTCTTGCAATTTTGCACTAGCTAGGCACTTGTTCTTGCAATTTTGCACTCGCTAGACACTTGTTCTTGCAATTTTGCACTCACCCCGCCCCATTCTCCCTCCTTCCATCACCCCACCCTATTCTCCCTCCTTCCATCACCCCGCTCCATTCTCCGTCCTTCCATCACCCCGCCCCATTCTCCTATTTTCCATCACTCCGCCCCATTCTCCCTCTTTCCATCACCCCGCCCCATTGTTGCGTTTTCCATCACCCTGCCCATTCTCCCTCTTTCCATTGCTCGTAGGTTTAATAGGTAGTAGTTTCTCAGCTTGCTCTAGAACCAGTTTGAGGGTCATTTGAGGTGGTCCAGTTTCAAATCCTATGATTCACTAACTTAGTTCTACAAAGAGGTAGCTTGTGCAGGCAAATATCCGGTCTGCCCTATTTTTCAGTCCTGTCATATTGGCACGCGTCTTGTAGCAATGGCATGCCGTTGTGGACTGAAGGCAAACCAGTGGTGTTCACAGTGGGAGAGGCTGCATGCTTATGGGTTGGAGTCACAAGAAGCTTTTCCATCTGCACTTGAAAGATGAGAAGGGGAAGACAAACAGGGCGAGACAAGCTGTGATAAGCCACAAGTTGTACAGCATCCCTGACAGGTTGGTGATCAGTTCCTGGTCTTGGCAAGCGTGGCTCTCACAGCACTGACCCGGGTGAGCAGTTGCTGCTGCTCTGCTGCCACATGCCGGCCCGCCTGCAGCGACTCCTCCAGTGACCCCAGCTGCACCCCCAGCTCGCCCACTGACGTCAGCAGCTCCTCTGCTATCACCTGCCGCTCCACCTGCCGCCTCATACGCCCCTCCCGCGCCACCACTTCCACCCCCCCCACATACGCCCCTCCCTCGCCACCTCCTACCACTGCATGCAACTCCACAGGCGACCCCTCTTGCTGCCTGCCGCCCTCACTCCCCACAACCCCCCTCAGAATCCGTTCCCGCTCCTCCGCTGCTGCTTCCACTGCCTCTTGCAACACCCTCTCCTGCTCCTTCCTCTCCTTCCCCCCCCCCTTCCTCCCACTGCCCTGCTCACTGGCCTCCACCACTGCTGTCACAGGGCTGCTGCGGGCAGTGGGGGCGGGAGGGGCGGGCGAGGGGGTGGCCATGTCGCGCCACACGGAGGACGCTATTGCCATCACTGCCGTCGCTGTCGCACCCGCTGCTGCCACCCCCACCTCCGCCATGCCCACAGCCACACTCACTCCCACGCCCCCCTCACTCCCCCCCTCCCGCCTCCTGCCCCCCGCCTCGACTGCCTTCCCCTGTCCCATCTCCACCCTCGCTCCATCGCCTCCCGCCTGCACCCCTGACCTCTCTGCACCACCCCCCACCACACGCCCAGCTTCGTTCTCCATCCCATCCTTCCTGCCCTCTACCTCCCTTTTTTCCCCATCTCTCTCATCCTTCCCACCTCCTCCCGTGGCCTCCTTACCCTCACCCGCCTCCGCCTCGCTGCCCACCACACCACGCCTCATGCCTGCATCCCCTTCACCCCCGCCGCGGCTCTTGTCGTCATCCAGCGACCGGGCGAGCCCGGCCACCAGCGACCCCAGCACGTACGCTGTCGCCACGTGCCCGCGCTTCACCGCCCCCGCCACATCCACTGGCCTGCTCCCCGCCCTCCCGCGTTCCCCCCTCGCCCTCACGCCTGCTCCCCTGCCCCTGCCGCTCTCCCCCTCTGCGCTCTCCGCGTCCCCCCTGCCTGCAACCTGCCCCGACTTGTCACCCGGTGCTGCCCGCCTTGCCTTGGCCCCGCCAGCAGTGGGGGCGTGCAGGGGGGGCTGGGGGTGGTGGGCGGTGGGAGGCGGCACCACGGCCTTGAGCGCATGCACCAGCAACCCCTTCCCCACCTCACTGCCCTCCTTCGCACCTCCTCCCTGTGCCGCTGCCTCCTTCCCTCCTCGCACATCCCCTCTTGCGTGGCCTGCCTCCCCTCGCCCTCTCACGCCGTCACTCCTCTCGCCTGCCTTGGCACCTCCTGCCGCCACCTCCACAGCACCCAGGCCTTTCTTCCGTCCCACGTCCTTGTGTCTCCCCCGCGCATCCTCCCCAACCTGCACCTTCTCCCCCTTCTCCCCATGCTCCCCCCGCTCCGCCCTCTCCGCCCTCTCCCCCTTGCCCGCGCGCCCAGCAGCAGCGCCACCAGCAGTGGGGGCAGCAGGGGGGGGCCGCCATGCTGCGCCTGGCAGCAGCAGAGGGGGCAGTGGCGGGCGCAGCAGCAGCAGGGGCAGCGGTGGCGGGGGCGGACGCGGGCGTGGCGGAGGGGGGGGAGCGGGGGAGGCGGAAGGGTTGAGGGGAGTGCAGGGAGAAGAAGCGGTGGCGCAGGGCGCGGCCTGCTGATGGCCGCCCCATGCCAAACACTGGCGAGGGGGGAGGGGGGGAGGGGAGAGGCAGCGGAGGGCGAGAGGGAAGTTAGAGGGCGAGTGGCACATGCGTTTTAGCTCGCAATGAAAGTATACTCTAGTGTGATACAAGAGCATCTTGTGGGAGCTGGCGAAGGTTCACTGATGGCACTTCAACACGCACTCAATGCTCCATGCCACTCTCCACACAAACACAAACACAGGCAGTGTGGTTGAGGCACAACGCACCGCTGGGCCACACGGCGTGGTCGTGGTTGGGTCGCTTCTGCAGCAGCTGCTTTGCCAAGTCAAACGCCGCTCCGCCTGCCACACCACACACACACAAGCAGATGCGGGGGCAGGGGGGCGCAAGGCCGAAGGTCCAGGGAGGGGGATAGAGTAAGAGAGGATGGGCACTTGAGACGGTCATCGAAACCCACGGCAGATTCGTCTCAGCGCAGTGGCATGCTGTGCCATGATGTGCACACACACGGGTGAGGCGTGCATGGAGCATACCATGGGCGTCGAGCACGGCCATGTCAGCGCTGGCGGGGCGGAACTTCTTCCGCCACCTGCTCAGATCGTAGTCGCACCGCTTCAACTCGTTGTTGAACCCCTCCTGGTGGTCCCATCCCACCCCCGCATGCACGGCCCAGCACGTCACCCACGCACAGAGGCACATAACAGCACAGTGGACGCAGGCGTTGGGCACACAGCACAGACCCGCATAGCTTCAGAAAACAGGGCATGGCAGCGTATGGTGTGGCATGGGATCATGAGGCGGTGGGAGGCATGGGCGGGTGGGCAGGGTGGGCGGGTGCACTGACCAGGTTGGCTTCATGGCGCAGCGACTTGAGGGAGAGCTGCATCAGCACCACGCCCTGTGAGCATGGTGAGGAAGGAAGGACGAAATAGAGCAAGTTAGGCATTGCAAGGGGTAATTGGAATGAGGAATCAATCATACTGGCAGTGGGAAGAGAAGGTGAGGTTGCAGGGGCAGGACGTCCAGCAAGGGCAGCAGGGGGAAGGGCGTACAGCGGAGAAGACGTCAAAGCGGTCGGGGGAGTTGGCCACCCAGATGAACGGCGACAGCAGCGATGCCAGCGGGTCGGGCGGCAGGTGCGGCGTGGTGGCGGGCGGCATGACGAAGCGCTCGGGGGCGGCGTACTTGGGATCCATCACCGTCTCACTGGGCACCTGCGGGGGGGGGGGAGGGCAGCATGCGGACGGCACGGGTGAATAGAGTGCCGCTGCTGCATGAATGGGGACAAATAAGTACGGTGCACACACAAGATAGCACACGCACGCAGGGACGTATGTAGTCGCTGGCCACACAGTGAGGGACGTACATAGTTGCGGCCGGAGCGCAGGTCAACGCAGGCGCCGAGGTCGATGAGGCAGAGGTGGCGCTCGCCCTCGTCCACCACCAGGTTGGCCGGCTTCACGTCCCGGTGCACCACTCCTGTGCGCCCCCCATGCCGCACAGCATACATGGCACAGGGCACATGGCACAGGGCACATGGCACAGGGCACATGGCACATAACACACGGTGAATGGGGTGCACCACCAGGTTGGCCGGCTTCACGTCCCTGTGCAGTGCACCACTCCTGTGCGCCCCCCATGCCCATTCCACACACCCCGTGCACCGCGCACATGGCACGTGGCACATGGCACACAGCACATAGTACACGGTGAATGGGGTGCATGCGTGTGCATGGAGAAGATGGAGGGAGCAGCACGGCGACAAGCAAGAGAACATGGAAGAGGGGGGCTTCGGGGGACGGAAGGGGCACGGGGCGGACCTGCGTGGTGCAGGGCGCGGAGGTTGGAGAGGATCTGGCGCATGACGGTCTGCGCCACCTGCCACTCCACCCACATGCGCTGCTCCTCCGACCACCCCCCCCGCGTCCCCCTGCACGCCCAGCAGCATGGCGGCCAGCGGTGCGGGGTACTGGCGGTCCTTGAGGTGGCGGTCCAGCGTGCTGTCGCCCTGGTGCTGCCACACCAGCCACACGCCCTGCCCGCCCGCCCCATGCCCCGTGCCATGCACCACACGCCATGCACCACACAGGGCAGGGAGAAGGGCAGCGGGGCCAGAGGCAGTAAATAGGCCACTCTTGGCACATGCAGAGAAGCGCCCACACATGCACAACGCGACACGAGAGGTGCGGGAGAGAGTGCGAATAGGTGGCATGCGGTGGTGAGCGCGTGATGACTCACCTCCTGCAGCTTGTTCCCCGGCTGCACCTCCATCGTCCCCAGGAACTTGGCCGCCACTCCTGGCACCGTACGCTGCATGCATGCATGCACACACGCATCCATGCACCCATGCACCCACGCACCCATGCACCCACGCACCCATGCACCCACGCACCCATGCACCCATGCACGCATGCACCCATCCAACCATGCACCCATCCAACCATGCACCCATCCAACCATGCAACCATGCACGCACAAGCTTGCAATCACGCGAACACAGACACTCGAATGGGATTGAGTAACCAGATAACCGTTCACACGAACACATCAGCGGGCAGTATCTATACGCGGTGCTGCAACTTATTCGCTGCCACATGAAGGCATGGTTGCTATCTGGGGCTTCATCACCGCACCTGCAGCCGGTGGTTCATGAACAGCTCACCTGCAGCCGGTGGTTCATGAACAGCTCACCTGCAGCCGGTGGTTCATGAACAGCTCACCTGCAGCCGGTGGTTCATGAACAGCTCACCTGCAGCCGGTGGTTCATGAACAGCTCACCTGCAGCCGGTGGTTCATGAACAGCTCACCTGCAGCCGGTGGTTCATGAACAGCTCCACGTCTTGCATCTCGTCCGCGCCCGCGCCCGCCGCCTTGCGCTTCACCACCACGCGCTGCGGCTGCCCGCGCGGCCCGGCGACGGTGGCCTCGTAGACCACGCCGAAGTTGCCGTGCCCCAGCTGTCGCCCCACCTTCACCTCCGAGGGGGAGAATCGCCTGGGGGTGGGAACACGCCATGGGGAGGGGCGTTTGGGGAGTCAAGGGAGGCGGCAGTGCGGCGTGGATTGCGGCGCGCTCGCCTCTCTGTGCGTGCCCGCCTCTCTGTGCGCGCTCGCCTCTCTGTGCGCGCTCGCCTCTCTGTGCGCGCTCGCCTCTCTGTGCGTGCCCGCCTCTCTGTGCGCGCTCGCCTCTCTGTGCGCGCTCGCCTCTCTGTGCGCGCTCGCCTCTCTGTGCGCGCTCGCCTCTCTGTGCGCGCTCGCCTCTCTGTGCGCGCTTGCCTCTCTTGCGGGCTCGCCTCTGTGTACCTGAATGTGACGGTGTGGTGTGACTGTACCTGAAGGTGACGGTGTGACTGTACCTGAAGGTGACGGTGTGGAGGGGCGCGACGAGGAAGTCGAGGAGGCCCATGGGGCCGGAGGGCGGCGCGGACGCGTACGCCAGCAGCAGCGCCACGGACGCGATCCACTCGCGCAACGCCACCTGCCACGCGCACCACCGCCCACGCGCACCCACCTCAGCACGTTAGTGCGCAAGCAAGAGGCGCAACGACGCGCGGATTGCGGATGAAGGGGACGGAAGGAGGAGAGGTGGGGGGGCGCGAGGGCACTCACGGGGTCGTCCAGTGGAATGCCGGCGGACGCCGCGAGCTGCGCCACCTCGTGATGCACGCTCGCTATAGTCACGTCCATGCCCAGCGGCACCCTGCGACGCACGAGGATGTGGGCACAGCGCAGGGGGGGGGGGGGGGGTGGGGTGGTGGCGACCGCAATGCCGGTGAGGCCACGAACACCACGTGAACGCAATGCCGATGCTGCGCGCCAAGCGACACGCGACCCGCCGAGCACTGGAAAATGATGGCGTACTCATCAGCTCCCCCCACCCGCATAAAGCGCTAATGGAAAGATGATGGCAGCGGGCGGCACTCACCCGTGCAGCAGCGCGTCCGCGAGTTGCCCGTACACCGCGCCCAGCCCGTCGAGCGCAGCCGCGGGAGGAGGTGCGCGGATGGGGCGGGATGGGCGGAGGCAAGGGTGGCGAGGCGCGGAGAGTCGGGGGCGGAGGAAGAGAGAGCCCGGGAGCGATGGACGGCCTACGGTACGCGCGCAGTGTGGTGCGGCTGAGAATGCGGCAGCCACGAGTGTTGGCGGACGGGGAGGGGAAGCGCCATGACATGGCGAGCCAACTGCGCTCATCGTGCTCCTTGGTGTCAGCTGAGCGCCCAACGTTGACGCTGCCATTTTTTCGTGGTATACAATTAAACGTTTAAAATTCACCGTCCACAATAGCATAGGACGGTGATCGACAAGCGTTTGAAATATCGCGACGGCAGCACAACAACTTTCTTGTGCTGCAAAATTACGTTTTTTCGACCAAGTGATGAGACGGTGGTTAGATCCTGTGTAGGTGAGCGCTGCGACCTCTCGATCAGAAGCAGCGGATTTGACTACAGCAACTGGAAACAGAACGCATGAAAGGGTTGGTTGATGGTCGCTGTCAACGGCAGTCCTGTCGCGTGCATCGAATTGGTGCGGGTTCGAGCAAGTTATCGTTACACCAGGTTCTCCTGCCCGCGCAATTCGTTGCACCCCAACTGGGTCTTGTCTCGGTCGCCGGTCATCTTCCCGCTAGCTGTGTCCATCCCGCCCCCCAAACCGTCTAATTTCCCTCCAGCCGTTCGCATCCCCGCCATGATCACCCGTGCGAAGCCCATTGCGCACTCTTTCCCACACGCGCAAGCCTTGGACGGGCGCACGCACAAGCTGGCCTGCTTCCTTGCCTAGTCAGCGCGACAGCTGACAGTGCTCTTTCCTCTCAGCGCTGCGCTTCTATTGGCCCAATGTTGGTGGGGTAACCATTGCAAATCGCCGCGTGTCGAAGTCGTGCTCCACTCGTGGATTCTTGCCGCGAAAAAAACCACATTCTGGTCACAATTCGTTGTTGGCGTCTTGTGTGAGACTTTGTTCCAGTAATACTCCATATTCCTAATTAGTCAGGATTACCGACGTGTATACATTAAAACGAATCAAATTTATGCAGAAATACATAAACGCTTTATTGAACTACAGCTTCCATTCGAGAGCATACCTATAGAGAAGATAACCAAAACACCTAAGCCTATCAACTAGCTCACAAGGCATGAGCCAAGTCATATACATGCTGGCATAGAAGACGTGCTGGAAAGAACTACACTGGTTGCTTAATCTCAATGTCGGGTTTCGGGACAACTTCATACAGCGTGATGCTGGTGAGGGAGATGGGGACAGCATTGATGGTGATGTCAGTGGAGTGGGACGTGGCGTTATCCGGCACTTGCACGTTCATCTGGTCGATCATCTCGTAGTCCTCCTTAATTGACGTGCGGTGCACGTGCACGAGCACAGGCACCGAGTGGTCAGCGGAGAGGAAGTCCTGCACGCGGAGGGTGAGCAGGAAGTCCTTGAACGACTGGTTGGTCACCAGGATGGTCAGGCGCTTGTGCCGGGGGCTGTACGCCGCCACCACCCCGTGCTCGCACTTGGTCACCATGCGCACAATGCGTGACTCCGGGGGCACCGCGCGAGTGAGGTGCTTCATCACGTAGTACTGCTTGCTGAATACCAGCTTCATGCTCTCCACGCTCTCTCCGCACTCCCCCTTAAACCGGAGGAGCCCCCACCCGTGGGTGTTTGGTTCCACGGCCATCCAGTAGTACCAGGCGGCCACCCCCATGATGTTGATGTGCTCCATGACGGTACGCGCCATGTACATGGCCAGCTGCAGGTCCGTGCCATAAATGTCAATGGGGCCCCACTCCGACTGCCACACCTCCTTGCCTATGCGCGCTGCCGACTCGCGCAGGTCTTTGTACTGCAGCCCGATCTGCCACGACTCGGGGAAGTGTTTCGACTGGTACCCGTGCACGCAGATGTGGTCCACCTTCTCCCACGTCTCGGGCCGCAGCGCCTCCGTGGGCGACTTGATGCTGCGCACCGTGTACGCCACCCACGAGTCCGCCACCGAGATGCGCGTCGGCAGCCCACTGGCCTGCAGCGCGTCCGCCAGCAGCGCTACCACCACGTCCACGTCGTTCACACTCACCGAGCACCCCTCGCGGTTCCTGCCCGCGCGCCACCAGCCCTCGAGCGCCTCGTTGAAGGGGTTGATGTGTTCAAAGGTGATGTTCCACGCGGGGTCGGAGTGGTACTGCTGCATCACGTCCACCAGGTACTGCACGAACGCCCCCCGCTGCTCCGGGCGCATGTTGGGGTCGCCGTGGTCGTTGCCCGCCGTGTCCCCACTGACGGTCATCCACCACGGCGGCGAGTACGAGATGGCCTCAAAGTGCTGCACGCCCAGCTGCTTCGCCGCCAGCATCACCTTGCGCTGCCCCGCGTCCGCCGACCAGTTGTAGGGCGCGAGGGGGCCCTCTTTGAAGGCGCGCATGGGGTGCTTGGTGCGCGCGATGGCGGGTGAGAACATGGCGTTGAAGCCGCCCGGGATGGCGTAGCGCGCCATGGAGAGCCCCAGCCCCCTGTCCGCGTGGAACACCAGCTCCACCAGCCGCCCCATGCACCACTCCGGTAGCCCGCCCGCCTGGTTCGCCCACCTGCGCGCGCCGGAGGGGGAGGGCGCGTGGGGGGGGGAGGAGAATGCAAGAGACAGGAGTGAGGGTTGGGGGAGGAAGTCGGTGGAGGGAAGTTTGTTGGGAGGCATGTTCATAAATTCATCATTCCCATGTACGACTTACCGTGCATCTCCGTGTCTCACCAAGCATCACCGTGTCTCACCGTGCATCACCGTGTCTCACCGTGCATCACCGTGTCTCACCATGCGAGCGAGGTGCCCCAGCCCTTCCACATGGTGGCGGTGAAGTTGGGTCGCACGTACACGTAGTCGTACCCTGCACGCACGCACGCACGCACGCACGCACCACACAGCCACGCCACGCATGTAAATCAGCCTTGTTTCAATCTCAATGTCAACCAGCCATTGATTCTTCAACACACGTGCCAAGCGGCCGGCGACGAGAGAGGCGGGAGAGGCCCTGCAGGAGCGACCGGATTTGCGTGCGATCAAAGCTCTTACCCGATTTGCTCATCACACCATTTCTCAGATTACACTCGACTCCTCGTTCTACTTGTGTGTCGCACGGCGCTGGGCCTACCTTGGGTGTCGCACGTGTGGTATCGGTCCGTCTGCTTCTGCTGGTACAGCTCCGTCCAGTTGAACTGCCCCCACTCCCCCTCCCTCCCCTCGAATCGCGCCTGCGACGGGCGCGTGAGATTCGACAGCTCGGGCATGGGGATGGGGTCGTCAGCCGGCGTCGGCGGGACCGCAGGGGCGGGCGCGGGGGCCGCAAGAGCAGAATCGTTGGGCGGGGCGGCGGATTGGTTGAGCGAGATGATGGGATCTTTGGGCTGCAGTGGCATGGGAACGGCGGAGGTGTTGAGTTCAGAGGCAGTGCTCGCGGGGGACGCGGGGGAGGGCGAGGGCGAGGACGAGGAGGGCTTGAGGGTGAAGAGCAGCGCGACGAGTGTGGCGACGCCGACGACGAAGAGCAGCAGAATACCCGCCAGCGCCCACCGCCACCGGTGCTGCTGCTTCGGGTCGCCCGGCAGACACAGCATGCGGTCGCAGTCCGCGGACCCGCATGGCGGCGTGCACCCGCATCTCCTGGGGGAGCTGTTGTGCGCGGCTTGCGGCGACTCCGCCATTGCGGGAAACTCGCCATCAGGAGCAGCCGCCGCGTCGGCGAGAGGGGCTGTGGCATTGGAAGGGACCGCATCTTCTACAGTAACTACCGCATCGCCTTCCGCACTACTGGGCGGGTCGGCCATGATTGCACCTACCGATTCTAGTAACTACGGGGTGGACTTGCTGCGTGTCAAGGAAAATATTCAGAAGAGGCTAGCTGGTGGCATTAGCTCATACATGAGGGGGAAAGGATGATGTTGAATTTGGTTCGCAAGGAGCGCGGCAGATGCAACTCGTTCAGTGCGCGGTGAAGGAAAGAACGTGTTGGATTGCAAGTTGCAATTTGCAACTGGGTGTTGAGGGGAGGGGCGAATTCGACACACTGGAGGGGATCGCGGAGAATAGAGGGGGCGGGGTGGGTTTGGCGGGGAGGCGGACGGAGCAGTCAATCAAAGTGCTGGGCGGACTTGTGGTCGAGGAGGAAGGGGCGAAGCGTGGTACAGCGCTAGGTGGTTGCGCGGGGCTGGGCGGCGATGGAATTTGGCGGCTCTCGTGGCTCTGGGAAAGGGGAAACGCCATGCGTGCGACGGCTATTGGTTGGTGCGACGCCGAAGGTCCTTTTGCACCCTGCTTGGGTTTTGCAACCAGGTAGGCTTGGCCCCCCGAACGAACATTCTTTACATCCATTGGTTATCGCAGCCTTGGACGTTTAGAGCCCCACCAGGTCTGTCGTGAAGGACTTGGCATGGCGACGCCGTCACCTTCGGGAGGTGGCGGTTTGGCGATGTTTATAGGGGTGTCGACTACACGGCTTCATTTATTGTGAAATGACTAAATCTTCAAAGCAGCACATTGATAAAATTGGGGGAGGTGCTTAGGATGCGGCACCTCCAGCACCGATCCTGTGATCGATCCTGCGCAGGATCAAATGTTTTAGGAGTTTTAAATGGTTTAAAAAGCTTTAAAGGCTTTCAGCAGGATTTCAGTACGGTTGAATCAGCGATCCTGCGATCGATCGTGCAAAATTGCTTGAGGTGCCGCGTCCTTGCCGTATATCAATATTGGTTCCTACTGGGTTTTGGCGCATTTTGTTGAACGTTACTGTTCAATACCTCTAACAGCGTTATTTGAGACTAAAAGGGGAAATATGTATCAAATTCTTTGAACACTCTGATCTTTGTTGTACCTTACGTGGTAGCTTGAATTCATTGCGTGGCGGCGCAAGCACAGTTTGTGTACACTGTGCACCACGTCCCTCGTTAGAGGCACTACATCAATTGTGACTTTGACCTCGGCGAAGGACCAAATAGACAGCTCTGATACTTCATCGGTTGACATTGTCTCAACGGTTCTTTGGCCGTAAGTCAAACGGGTGGCTTCTGACAGTCGTCTAACACATTTCACCTCCCAATCTGTTCAGAGGTTCTGGTTGATCATGTTGAAAGAGAATAAGCTACCAGCAGGATCTAAGCTCACAACAACAAGCAGGAAGTTGGCACTCCCTGGTAAAGAAGAAACA